GGGTGCCCAAACTTTTTCATACGAGTGTGTCTGTCTCCTTGAACCCCATTCTGCCTCATTCTGCTGGAGGTTTCTTTCTGTTCAAAGAGAGTTTTTCCTCTCCACTGTCACTAAAAACATGCTTAGTGTGAGGGATTGCATTAGAGTCAACAAGATGAACTGGTTTTCCTTAGAAAACTTTAAACCAATCTGACTGTATGATCTGGTTGAACTGTAAAGTGCCTTGAGATGATGCGTGTTGTGAATTGGCGCTATAGAAATAAATAGAACTGAATTAATCTACAGATTTAGATTGATCAACTTTCCATCTGTACAGTAACTACAGGTTTTCCCAACAGGATTACAAGACAGAAGCTTTCTGAAGCATTAAGCTCCGTTTTGGCCGATTTCTGAGGCCAGAGGTGAAGGTGGAAGCTGTAAAGGTTGTAGTTGGCTGGGGAATAAACATTTAGCGGCATGAAAGCCGTGTGGCGATCTTTGGCCAGTAAGGTTCAGCACCATCACATCCCACCTCATATCCAGCTCAGAGGGCCACAGCTGCTGAAGGGCATTGAGGGAAACAACAACTGAAATGCTGAGACAGTTTTTCCTGGAGATGTTTCGATTTATCCTCAGCTGTCAATGGACTCATTTGTTTGTCAAGACTTTGATCTCGGAGATCATCTACGAGCCTCATGAGCCGCCGCCGTGCTCTGCTGGGTCGGACAGATCTGTCATCAGCAGATGTATTAAAACCCTAGTTTTTCATTCAGTTTGTGACAAGCAGAGCTTTAAGTGATGCAAAGACTCCCTTATCTATTCAGCTTTAGCTCCGCAGCGTAAGAAACTGTCTGATCAGGAGGCTGAATCACAGAGCAGCTGAGGTGGGAGCAAACATGGTAGCGAGGAACTTCATCTGACATTTCTGAACACAGAAAATTAAGGAATGTAGATGAGATGACCGCCTAAAGCCTTCTGTGCTTTGATGAAACATCAAGTCGACCAGCGAAGCTTTGAAAAAGTTTGATTTTAGAAAACTATAACAGGACTGATTTCTCAATAAACCCTAACCTTTAATTAAAATGCACAAAACTTGCAAATATGTCAAATTTGTATTTTTTTCTCCAGTTTAACACAGCAGAGGATTTCGACAATAGTCATAGTCATATTTAGCCATATTTTTCCTTCCTCTTTACCAGGACTACGAACCGGTTCAAGGAATGGAAAAGAAAACTGGAAACAAACGGAATTTTACTAGGAACGGAAACAGAAATTAAAACTAAATGGTCTTAAACTGTTCGGGAACAGTTGAACAGAGTTGCACGAGAAGTCACTAAAAGAGCACCAAGATCATAACAAGAGGCCAGCTGCGGATAGTGAAAAAACACAAACAGGTTCAAGTGGCATTAACCCCTGAAGTCCTCAAAAAGGCGCGCTTAGAGCTAGTCATGGTTAACGGTAGACCTTTTTCAGCCGGAGCAATAAGAAGCAATGGTATTTTGTATTTCAAACCGGTTCAGGACCGATTATGTTGGTGGCGGAACACAAGAACGAGAACGTTAAACATACCTGAACCGTTCTGAATGGAACAATTGAAAAATAATTTCATTTTTAAGCCCTTCTCTTAACCTTCTTTTATGCATGATCAATGACATGGTCACAGGGGGCGGGGATGGTGGGGTGCTGCAGCGCCCCCTAGAGGCGAGAAGGAGAAACTGTATTAAAAATACTTTGCACAATTTTGAAATTTCTTATGGATATTTTGGGAAATGATATTGACTTTTTTACTTTACTGTTTAGTGTATTTTGATTTTGATTTATTTATTTTAGGGCCTAAACAACACAAGTTCAAAACACTACGTTGTCAAGGCAACATCAAGCAAGCCAGAGGTCGCTGAGTAAATGTCAGGAATCCAGTTTGTGTGGTCTGTTTTTGTGTTTCCTCTCCTCCTCCACCAGGTGGTGCCCCGTCCTCATTGGGTCTCCCTGCACACCTGCAGCTCATTGCCTCATTACCTGTGGAGTGTTCTTAACCTGCTGACTGCCACTACCTTGACGCCAGAGTGTTTGCCAATACAGGGATGTCATCCTGCAAACTGGATGGTGCACACCAAGCAAAGGAAACCTTTGCTTGGTGTGCACCATAGCCCATTCAAATACTGCAGGAAATCTGAGTGGCAGTCAGCTTCTCCATTCACCAAGGAACAACCGCAGTCTGAGTAACCCAGTCCGCCCATCACCAAACAGGACAATCCTCACAGACTGGATTCCATAAAGGACACCTTTTCCCGGAAAAGTGAGTCTGCACCCTTTTCCTCCTATTCAAAAACAAAGATTCAAATTTCCCACTGAGCCTGAACTAACCGCAGTGTCTTCCCCTCACCTTCCAGTTCCAGCTTGACAGTGTTCAGAGCAGCACTGGATTAATCACATTATTCCAAATAAACCTGTTTAAACTTTTCCCTGGTCTGTCTGTTTGGTCTTCTGCATTTTGGGTCAGACCTTGAATATAATCATGACAGTAAAGAGGTATCCCCCTCACGGCAGCAGAGTAGTAAATTTACATAGTCTAATGACAGAAACGAGGAGGAAATATGCAACAGAGACGCATTTCAGATTGGTCCGCTCATTACAGACTTTATCTCCATGACCTCTGAGCACACCTCAACATTTGGACCCCTGTAACCATGGCACCCTGCCTGTAGCTCAAAGTTAGAACATGATGCTGCCACGCACTTTCATATCTATTTGTGCAGCTTAACGTAACCATAGTATTTTAGAGTTTTATTATGATCTTGTGATCTTTGTGTAGTGGAGAACTGTTCAATAGTGTTTAAAGAGCGTACTAATATAATCATTTCCTTGTGCTTTGCGTAAAAGGATTTTGGAGCTAAGAGTCCGGCGTGATATAAACACAGTGAGTCAGGTTCACTCCAGCTGACCAAATCTGCGTTGTTTTAGTGTTATTATGAAGTTTAATTAATAGTGCATATATTCACCTGACCACTGATGATTGCGTGATTCCCTGGTTGCGTGCACTGTAGTGAATATGACAATAAAATATTGATTATCAATCTATTTACTTGTTTTTCATTGTATTTTAGATAGTTATATAGGCTCATAGGTATTTTAACCAAAAAAGCAACACATTTTCACAGCACCCCCTGTACTTCCTGCTGCCCTGATCAATGATACCTGATCAATGATACCATAGAGAATTGTTTATGTTTCAAAGACCAAATGAAGAAAAACCATCTGATCTCTGCAGCTGCTGCTGACCATCTACATATGTTAAAGGGTTCATGTCCTGATCTTTGAAGCCTTCCAAAGTCAACTTTAAGCATATTTATGATGAAATATCACCTTTTATATGAAATATTTGTTCTTTTCTGGCATTTATTCCAACCCAGAGTAAGACACCTGTCCTCCTCTCCCTGTTTGGGTGCCTCCCATTTTATGACTGGGCAGGCGCAGCATGGTCACGCCTCCGGGAGGGGGCAAACATGGAGATGGTGTTCTAGCATAATTACAATCTGAAAAAAAAAGACTTAAATTACAAAGACCCATTGATATCAATGGCTCTTAATGATCTTCAAGATGCATGTCTTTGAAGGTACAGATCATTTGATGGATGCAGACTCTATGTGCTGTGCAGCAGATCTAGGTCATCCAGACAGGTTAAAGTGGTCTGAGACAAACCCTCAGGGAGAAGTACCTGCTGCTCTCTGGCTGAAAGAGTTGTTCTTGCAGTGCTGCCATTCTCAGACGGAGCTGAACTTTTGTACTCCTGCTGTTTTATACTTAAGAAACAGTTTTCTTCACTCTGTAGTGCTGCTCTAACACAGATCAGAATGGACTCTGCATTTATACAGTCCTATTTTTCCCAATTTCCCATTTATGTAGCTCTCAGTGGAGTTTTTTCAATCAAGTCAAATGCTATTACACTGTAATCTGTTTACATCATCATGTCTTTAACATTTTCCCTAACAGTCATGGGTGGAACTATAAATTAATCCTTCTGATAAGCATACTCACTGGAAATGAAGTCAGAGAAGAGATGATGTTCTCGTTAGAAAATAGATGAAGCCAAATGCTGCATGCTTCACATGCTGCATACTATCACCATAGTGGCTGAGATATTGATAAGCTTTATGTTTCTTTCTTGTCCTGTTCACCACAAGGATAACAGATTTTCATAACAGTGCTGGCAGTGCTAATGTTTCTTAGCTAAATAACCAAGCTCCATCTGATTTCAGAGATCTGATTGTTCCTTATGTTCCTAACAGAGCACTTCGCCTTCAATCTGCAGCTTTACTAGTGGTTCCTAGAATTTCTAAAAGTAGAATGGGAGTCAGATCTTTCAGTTATCAGGCTCCTCTCCTGTGGAACCAACTACCAGTTTTGGTCCGTGAGGCAGACACCCTGTCTACTTTTAAGGCTAGGCTTAAAACTTTCCTTTTTGATAAAGCTCGCGCTGCTGGAGGAGCAGCTGTATGGATCTTAGCTGAGGATCAGAGACTGTTGTTTAGTCCTCCATCAACTCTTTATGCTTCACCTAAATGATCCTGCATCCCAACCTAACCATGACTTTACATTTCTCCCCAAAACACAGCTTATTTCTGACTACATGTTTCCATTGCATTTCATTCAGAAAGCAAAGGAAATACCATATGTTAGTCAGAATGATACAGGACCGTAAAAATAGGGTGTTGACAGACCTTTGGACCTTTAAGGGGAGTTATAAGTACTTTACGAGCTTAAGCTACAGCTGCTGCTCTTAATAAAAAGCAGCTACATGGAGCACAGCCATGTTTTAAGACTCACTACACCCCCACCTACATGGGGAAAGTGCACTTACTCTGACCAGTAGCCTTGATTAGGTGAGTGCCACTCAGGTGGCAGCGCCGTCAGCCCAGGGAGAGCAAAGACTCAGAGAAAACAATCATTCTGACAAGACTTTATTGTGTTTACCAGGAGTGCCAGTGAGGATGAAAGGCTACAGGACACAAAAAGCAACCTACCTTTTGTTTGTGAGCAGCCAGATAACCATGCATTTTCTCAGGCTGGAGGAAGGAGGGGCCAGCGCTGACAGCAAAGCGAACATCCAGCATTCGCTCCTTCACATCCATCAGGCTGAAGATGTTAACTTCATCAGGTGGAACAGAGAGCATCTCAGACAGGAAGTCCACCAAGAGCTCGTAACGGCTGCGCTGCTTCCCCCTCAGTTCAATGAACTCCTTCGCAGTGATGTCTGAACAAGAGAAAAGGAGGTGCATAGGAGGTCATACGAGGTACAGATTTATTTCCCTATACAGATTTTTGTAGGGTTTTCAAACAGGATCAGATGAGACAGATCATCTCTTCATAGCAGTGGTAAAAACGTTAAAAATACTAATAAATGTATATCGGTAGATCAGGCTAAGGATGGCAGCAGGATTCAGAAAATTCCAAACCAAAACGGCAGACATGAAAACACATTTAAGATATAATTTAGATCAATAAAAAATCATCTAAAAGAAGTTTTAAATGAGTTCAAACCATCTTTATAAAATTGTTTAGAATGATAAATAAATGTGCCCCCGCCCCCTTCCACAGACACTATGCTGCACCTCTCCAAAATTGTCGGTGACGGCAGACAGGAGGCCTCTGATTGGTCAAATCTAAATCCGCTCTACACTATGCTTATTTCCTGTTTGGTTCCTTACCGGCTTGTTTTGTTTGTATGACAATCGTCAAAAAGCGACTCGTGAAGATGGACCAGTTAGAAGAGCAAGGTGCATGAGAACTCTGGGACCTGCTCTTTTTACCCTCATGCCTGCTGGGATCTGGAGCTGTACCACCTCTCTCCAGCAGAGTGCGCCGCGGATCCTCCTGAGCTGAGCCTTCCAACACACCTGAGGCACATCTCGTCATCAGTGGATCCTCCAGTATGTAACCTGCCTTCAGACTTTGCCTCAACGCCACAGTGTTGATCCAGTTTGGTTAGCACCTGAGCCTAGCAAACACCTGAGAATCTAGCTATCTCTGTTGAGATTAGATTCTAACTCCTCCTTGTCTCTGCTTCACAGGAATCCTGTTTCCCTTGGAAGCTCTGGATGAGCTTAACCTGCCGAGCCTGCCCTCTGAGCAAAACCTGAAGACTCTTCTCTGGATTCCCCTGCAGCTCTTGGCTAAGAGCTGGAAACCCAAACCAAGGTCTGCCCTCAAGTCAGAAGTAAGATGCTGAAGCGGTTATTGGACTCTGCTGATCTAAACAGTCTCTGGACCCAACAGTTCCTCTCTCAAAGTGAAACCCGGACTCCTCAAGGTATTCTTCAGAAACTCTCAAACTCTTCAGTCCCAGAGCTAACTAACCTGTCATCCTTACAGACTCCAGTGAACCTGCCCCCCGTCCTGAACCAGTTCCAGTGTTATGATTCATGTGCTTGTGCTTTAATAAACCTTGTTAAACTTTTCATCAGTCTCCGTTGTGTTCTGCATATTGAGCTTTTCTGAACCCATCATGACAGAACACTGCGGCCAAACACAAGGCCCAGCAGACCACCTCCATCGTAGGCTGGAGGAGCAAGACGCTCAAATCCAAGGACAAACTCAAGCCCTCTGTGAGTTATATGCCAAGGTCAATTGCAATAACCAAATGCTTCAGAGCTATGCTAACTACAGGTGCTGGTCATAAAATTAGAATATCATGAAAAAGTAGATTGATTTCAGTAATTCCATTTAAAAAGTGAAACTTGTATATTATATTCATACATTACATACAAACTCATATATTTCAGATGTTTATTTTGTTTAATTTTGATGATTACAAATGACAACAAATGAAAATCTCAAATTCATCATATCAGAAAATTAGAATATTGTGAAAAGGTTCAAAATTGATGGCCCCTGGTGCCACACTCTAATCAGCTAATTAACTCAAACCACCTGCAAAAGCCTTTAAATGGTCTTTCAGTCTAGTTCTATAGGCTACACAATCATGGGGAAGACTGCTGACTTGACAGTTGTCCAAAAGACGACCATCGACACCTTGCACAAGGAGGGCAAGACACAAAAGGTCATCGCTAAAGAGGCTGGCTGTTCACAGAGCTCAGTGTCCAAGCACATTAATAGAGAGGCGAAGGGAAGGAAAAGATGTGGTCGAAAAAAGTGTACAAGCAAGAGAGATAACCGCACCCTGGAGAGGATTGTGAAACAAAACCCCTTCAAAAATGTGGGGGAGATTCACAAAGAGTGGACTGCAGCTGGAGTGAGTTCTTCAAGAACCACCACACACAGACGTATGAAAGACATGGGTTTCTGCTGTCGCATTCCTTGTGTCAAGCCACTCTTGAACCACAGACAGCGTCAGAAGCGTCTAAAGAGAAACAGGACTGGACTGCTGGTGAGTGGTCCAAAGTCATGTTCTCTGATGAAAGTAAATTTTGCATTTCCTTTGGAAATCAAGGTCCCAGAGTCTGGAGGAAAAGAAGAGAGGCACTTCATCCACGTTGCTTGAAGTCCAGTGTAAAGTTTCCACAGTCAGTGATGGTTTGGGGTGCCATGTCATCTGCTGGTGTTGGTCCATTGTGTTTTCTGAGGTCCAGGGTCAACGCAGCCACATACCAGGAAGTTTTAGAGCACTTCATGCTTCCTGCAGCTGACCAACTTTTTGGAGATGCAGATTTCATTTTCCAACAGGACTTGGCACCTGCACACAGTGCCAAAGCTACCAGTACCTGGTTGAAGGACCATGGTATCCCTGTTCTTAATTGGCCAGCAAACTCTCCTGACCTTAACCCCATAGAAAATCTATGGGGTATTGTGAAGAAGAAGATGCAATACACCAGACCCAACAATTCAGAAGAGCTAAAAGCCACTATTAGAGCAACCTGGGCTATCATAACACCTGAGCAGTGCCACAGACTGATCGACTCCATGCCACGCCGCATTGCTGCAGTAATACAGGCCAAAGGAGGCCCAACTAAATACTGAGTGCTGTACATGCTCATACTTTTCATGTTCATACTTTTCAGTTGGCCAACATTTCTATAAATCCTTTGTTTTTATTGGTCTTCAGTAATATTCTAATTTTCTGATATGATGAATTTGAGATTTTCATTTGTTGTCATTTGTAATCATCAAAATTAAACAAAATAAACATCTGAAATATATGAGTTTGTATGTAATGTATGAATATAATATACAAGTTTCACTTTTTAAATGGAATTACTGAAATCAATCTACTTTTTCATGATATTCTAATTTTATGACCAGCACCTGTACATGAGCAGTGCTAACGCCACGTCGGCGGCACGCCAAGTTCCGGATCCACTTCCGCCTCCGAGGTCACCGGCTGTGACGTCATCACCTGAGTTCCGCCCTAGTCTTCCTGAAAAGTTTTCAGATAATATGAAAGACTGTAAAGGATTTTTGTTTCAGTGCCGTCTAATTTTTTAGAACTCTCCTGGCAGTTTTCCAACCGATGAGAAAAAGATAACTTTTATTCTGTCCCAACTAACCGGACGAGCCCTAGAGTGGGCGGAGGCAAGGTTTGCCTCCGAAGACAGCCTCAGATGTGATTTTTCCGATTTTGTTTCTGAGTTTTCCCAGGTGTTTAACCAAGAGTCTGACCAAACAATTGACTCTCGTGCTCTTTTGACTCTAAGACAGGGAAATTCCTCTGTAGTGGATTTCTCCATCAACTTCCAGGTCAAAGCTGCAGCTTCCAGATGGAATCAATGTGCTCTCAAAAGTGCATATTTCAAGGCTTTAAATGACAATATTAAAGATGAACTTGCAACCCTCGACGAACCAGCAATTATAGAGGAATTAATCCGCCTGACAATTAGGTTGGATAACAGAATCCGAGCTAGAAACAGTTCTAGACAAAGGAATCAAAGTTTTTCTGTGTCAGCCCCTGCATCTAATAATGCAACAGTTTTTTCTGGTCCCACAGAACCCGTTTCCAAGCCGAGGTCTAAAACCCAGTCGCTCTCTTTGCTAGTTCAGGTCTCTCACGCAGTGGAGACGGAAGCCGAACCCATGCAGGTTGGACATACGAGGCTAACTCCTGAGGAAAGGCTAAGACGCTTCAGAGGCAAGTTATGCATCTACTGTGGTGAGACTGGCCATTTCATCGCTTCATGCCCAGCTAAGTCAAAAGCCGGGGCCCGTCAGAGGATCTGAGGAGTCTGACGGGCCATTTGAATTCTGAGAAATCTCCTCATCTTATGCTCCCAGCCAACTTGTTTTTCGCAGACCAGAACCTAACGTTATCTGCCTTTATCGACTCAGGCTGTGAACGTAATTTGATAGACTCCTACCTGGTTCAGCAGCTACAAATCGAAACCATTCCTCTAACCCAGCCTCTTAGTGTCTCCGCAATCGATGGGAAGAGACTCCACCAGGTTACCCACCAAACACAACCCCTCGAGCTGTTAATCTCAGGTAACCATCGTGAAACTTTGACATTTTTTGTTCTTCCCTCTGCATGTTCTCCCTTGGTGCTTGGTTTTGAATGGCTGAACGACATAATCCCCATATCAACTGGGTTGAAAGCCATATTGAGTCATGGTCGACCTCATGTCACGAAACGTGCCTTCGTTCTGCAGCTCCCGCTGTGAGGTCTCCTAGAGGCGGGGGGGAGATGGACTCTCCTGATCTTACTTCTGTCCCTTCCGAGTACCATGATCTGGCTCCTGTCTTCAGTAAGGTCAGTGCTACGTCCCTTCCACCCCACAGACCATATGACTGTGCAATCAAGCTATTACCAGGAGCTCCTCTACCCAGCAGTAAACTTTACAATATTTCCAAGCCAGAACGTGAAACTATGGAAAAATATATTAATAAGTCCTTAGCTGCTGGAATAATCCGTCCCTCTTCTTCTCCGTTGGGAGCTGGTTTCTTTTTTGTGGGTAAAAAGGATGGTTCTCTAAGACCTTGTATCGACTACAGAGGCCTTAACCAAATAACAGTTAAAAATAAGTACCCACTTCCGTTACTAGAATCAGCCTTCGAACCAGTACAAGGGGCTACTGTCTTCACTAAGCTCGATTTAAGGAACGCTTATCACCTTCTCAGGATTAGAGATGGTGACGAATGGAAGACACCTGCTGGACCATTAAAGACACTACAGGCAGCTGATTTGACTGACTAAACTGAATTGATTTGATGACCTAATAAAATGATATCATTTAAGTTATTGTAGGTTATATTGTATTATTTCATATCTATGTTCAAATTTAAAATTAATTAATTTAATATTTGTAG